AAAATTTCTAAATTTCTATTTTATAAAAAATAGTAATACCTTGTAGGATTGATTACAAAATTCTGTCTGACTATTATTATTTACTCTTAGAAAAAACGCCAAAAAGACAGCAAGCTCCAGATTTATTTTAGATTAGTGACTTTTAAGTTCAGCAGTAAACTAAGAAATTTCTAGTGACTCGTCGTTGAAGCATAGTGGTTCATGATACACAAGGTGCGTTTCTCATTCGTCCTAAGACAAACATTTTAATTTAAATTACTGAACATTTTTCTCAGACTCTCATACAAAACAATACTACTGCCAGCCTTGTACACTAAACAGGCCACCAAAAGTTAACTAACATATGCAGAAAAAGTTCCAGTTTCTATGACAATTTGTCACCTGATCTTTAAAAAAATGCATGCTGTTGACAGAGTGGAAATAGATTGCCCAAATAGACCAAAACTCTGTCCAAACTTAAAAAAAAAAGTTATAGCTTTACCAGATGGCTGTAGATTTTTTAGACAGAATGAAACACACTGTGAAAAAACATTTATAGCCGGGATATGAACAAGTTATATTTAAGTGGTGTAGGGACTGGTACTGAAATGAAGGGGAGTTTTATGAGGTTTTAATAGCACTATTGACCAACAGTTCCTGTTAAATGACATGGGGTATAAACAGAGTTTTAAACGGTTCCCACTTGTATATACAAACTCAATGGGACCTTGTTGTAACTCTAGACTCCTGTAGGCTCCTGGCTAGCCAGTCCACCACTTGCCGCCAACACAACTGAATGAAAGAGCTCTGAAAGTTTCAGCTGTGGGGTTGAGTTAGCTGGGAGAGCCCAGGGTAGGCTGGGTGGTGACTTGACTGGACCAATCCAATTAAAATTGTAATATGATCTAGTCTCTGGACTATAGTTCTTATCCAATTAGATTCCACATCTCATTTAATTATGGTGTTCACTAGTCACTCAGAACTCATCAATGGGGTACAACATAGTGTACTCTATTGGACAGACTAAGCCAGCCTCTATTGTTGTTTTCAAAAAAAGGCACAAGCCACTTTTTTTAATCTCTGCAAACACTAGCAAACAAAAGGTGAGAGGAAAGTTCCAGACATACTAGTACACCACTTCTTTGCATGTGGATCAATGCAACAACAAGTCTCACTTTTTCTGTACAACAATCTTGACTTCTTATGTTATATACTATATATACCAGCAATAAGTTGTACGTAACCATGGAGATGAAGGAAGGGGGACAAATCAACTTTACTTACCTGTCGATTATGACTGGATCTGATGGCGTTTCATTTCTGTTTCCACAACTTTTCTTGTCACAGCATCGACTAAAATGAAAAGGAATAGATAAAAAAAAAGTTAGAAATCAACATTTGCATCTCATTGCCTGATGGAAATGTTTTTTTTGGAAAAAAACATCTTGAAAACCAACTTTGGTAAGTTTGTACAACAACATTACTGGTCCCTGCTGGGTTCCCTTTCATTTGATTAACTAATCCGTACACAGATCTATCAAACAACTTATTCAGTTCAGTTTCTTTTGCTGGGCGGATTTTGTCACATGGTACAATGCACACATTCAACGATTGAAGAAACTCTAAGGTAATTAATGAAAATGTTATAATTTACCCTCTTTTAATTTATTGCAGTTTGTGAAGTTTTTTGAAGAATAGAAAAGAAAGAAGGGAAATATTCTCACCTGCACATTATTTCATGTGTGAGCAACACACGGCACATTTCGGGGTTCTTGTCCTGCCCTTCATACACGATCGGCTGTGGGGAGGGAAAACACGGAAGCAAATACAGTCACTGTATGCATGTTTAATCTACCAAAAGAAACAGCGCTGCCTCTTGCATTTCTGGGTCACCAAAGACACCAAAGAAACGCCGCAACACGAATGCCATGTGGCGAAAAGATCGGGCGTAAATGACCAGAGAATAAATGGACTCAGAACAACGGAAAAGGCACAGTGTCAAGTAGCCATGATGACACAATTTCAAAGGAGAAAAGATGTACTTTGAATAATGTACAAGGCATTCACTTGAATAAGGCTATACAAAACACTCCACAGCGGGTGAAAGTCAATCACGGAGTCTCTAATTTAGTCACACTTATACCTAAATGCCTGGATGTTTTGCCAGTGCCGTAACCTCAATATCGCATCGAATTAGAATTCACGGTTGTATGCGGTTTTAGCTCCATCGCCAGTTTAAACCCATCTATAAAGCGGGTTCGTTAAAAAAATAATGGGAGAGGGCCAATACTCGGCAATATAAACCAAATTATTCTATAGAAATACAAGCTATTTCGCGATCAAATTTCTAAAATTTTATTAATTTGCGCTATAATTTTATAATGGTTAGTTGAGCTCTGGGGGTTCAGTGTTTCTTAACAACGGCTATCAGTTCTTATTTAAGGGATAAATTGCAATTCCAGTAGGCTTCATAATGAAGAACAGCCGTGACGCAAGTAGACAGCAGAACACGTGTACAGGGTATAAGCTGTGGCCATAAAATAACCAAAACAAACGCCCAGAATTACTTGTGACACAGGGAAGCCCTCTATTTTCAGCTGTTTCAAGCCATTTTGACGCTTTTGTTCAGTGTAGGACTGCCAATTTAATATTACACCGGTTGCCCCGTTTCAGACATCGATGTGTGCGCTACGGCTAAACTGGCTCACCCACGCGGCTAATGCTCCGGGCGATTCGCTTTCATTTCCCCCCAATTTTCAAGCAAAGGGTTTTCGAGAGAGTTATTATGATCAGCGGTGGGCAGGTCACATTTTCGGGGCTACTGCTTTTTTCTATGTTGGGTCAATCGTGGAGAATGGTGACAAGAAGAACGGGTGTTCTCTGAAGCATGCCGAGCTCGCCAACCTAAATTACTCAGCGAAGTGAAGACAAGACGATCGCCATGATGGCAAAAAATACAACTACAATCTAATAAGCGGACGCGAAAATATTGAAATCTACCTGTTTTGTGATGGAATCGATGAGCCTGACGTAGATATCCTGTTCGCTGCGAATACCTGAGTGAAACACAACATAATCATGAATGTAAAAATGGTATTATTACTTTCAAGTAGCAATAAAATGAGATAAAATTCGAAAATTGCCCACGATTGAACGACTGAGTCGATCGAGTCGCCTTCTCGCTAAAATTACACTGCGACAAAGTTCCCCTGATTTCGTCCAACGCTTCGAACAGCTTGGTGGGGTAAGAAAAAAAATCATAAGAATTGTAAAATTGTTTGAATTGTGCAAGGAAATTGGTGTACAAAACATGACTCGGGGCTAGTAAAAGGTCGATCACAAAATGGTCAAATTGAGTCATTAGTGTACGTTTAGTAGTGGATGGTCGCACGCCCCACGTTAAAAGCGAACAAGCGCGCAACGAGCCTCGAGAGCTACCGTAAATTTTGAAGGGGGGTGTACTGGTGGTTCAAAGGGTTTTAAGAGGTTTAGCAAATAGTACACAAGAGGTCGACACTTCACTTTCTATTCACACTAAAAAGAACAGTGCAGTTTCGAACAAGGAAGGCTGGCGGGTGGTGAAGGATAGCTTTCAAAATCGATCGAGCTTGTGCAACTACGTTAAATTGAGAACGTAAACAACTCGCCGGCTTCAACAAGCGTGTCAGAAAACCATGTGAGTTGAAAGTGACAAGCAAAATCAAAACAGAAAAAATGCCTACTATTTGTATAATTGAGTTCATGATTCTAAGTCGTAAACAGAAAACTGCTAAGTCGGATAATAATTCACTTAATCTCCAAAACCTTAAATATTAGCGGATTTCGGGCAATTGATATATAGATAGTGAACTTTATTTACCATTGTTGTAAAGGAGCTGTAATCGGTAATGAATTCCATTATTCGTCTTCTGGTTATCCGGTTCCTGGACAAAAAACAAAACTCGCGTCAAGAAATAAGCAAAACTAAATTAATTGAATTACTGTCAAGGTGTGAATCGGTTCGTAAACGTGTGTTGTTGAAACTCAACGAACTTTATCACGCCTTTACGCTGTGCACAGGGACTTGCACGTGAATATATTTGAAGAACACTGGTGATTATACTCAGCGGGGTCTACAGTGAGGAGAATAAAATCACTTCCGTACCCGTTCCTTCTCGATGAAGTCAATATACGACGTCCTCTCGATTTCCACCGGTTGACCCTGTCTATCGTACAAGGCGATGACGAAATGGAAGAAATTGCTTTTTCGTAAATTGCTCGGTGGTTGTTTCTCATAGTGGGCCCGTGCCAGGCCTACACCGCTAAGGGGGCAAAACAGAAATTGTATGGGTTAGTTGGACAGTCAAGCAAGTGGAATGAAAACAAAACTGGTAGCATATCTATATCGAAAGAGAAATTTCCTAAAACTAGAAAAATTATTCCTGGTGTGTTTTATCACGTGTATTTAAAGAAATCGAAAGCAATGCGAACACTGTCATGTCAGTCAACTGTGCCACAACAGACGGTAAATTGAGTGCTCGGGGCCGTGTATACATAGGGGACCAACTAAATAGTCCATGCCAAAATAAAAACATATACACTGAATGACAACACGGGACATAATATATCGGACGTGCCGGAAAATGGATAAAAAAATTCAAATAATTACCTTGCTGCTCCTTGTTCAACCATCGTAGGTTGCATCCAGCCTCGAACACCGCTGGATAGGGGTTCCTCCTTAAGATTGGTAGGACCTCTCGATAGGGTATCCTGGATGCCGAACATGAAAAACGTCCTATGGGGTTGAAAACGATGATATGTGCAATTACTAACAAGTCAGTTTGAGTACACAAGTGACTGGCTGACACTTGTACACAAACTTTGACAACAACAATAACAACAACCACGCGGCCTTGTTGTGTTGAAGACGTATTTTCGTAGTGAGAAATTAGTACAGCAAACTAGTCCACTGGGTTGACGATCAGGCACACGGATCGGGGCATTCACAGCGAAGCGGAACTACGATCTAAGGAGAAATGTCGATCCAACACGCGGCCGGCTACTACAATGTTGATCAGCGTCTATGCATGAACGGGCCTGCAGTGAGTCAATCGGGCTTCGGTGTAAGCACGTTGCCTGGTGTGTATATGTACTCAGCGACGACGATCGACTACCACACACTCACTAAAAACACCAAACTAAACCGATATATCTACTTCATCGATACGTGGTCGTACCTCTCGCTCACTCTCTTCAGCTTTTGGGGGTGTCCGTCTCCCGGGGGGCGTCTTTTGTTGGTTTCAAGTGTTCGTATGTACGGCGGCTTCCCTATGGATTTTAATTCCCTTGGGATGCACGGTAAATACCTTAGGGAATCGATGTTGACAGGGACTGACAACGGATCAAAGCCATAGGACAACGCCAATTCTTCCTTATATGGGCTAAACTATGCAGAAAATTCCTACCAGCCAATGAGAACACAGGGTGTGCCGACGTCCTAACAAATAGCTCCGCCGCACTCTCACTTTTACTACGACTGATGTCGTTTTCTAATGTGATTGATAGGCCGCTGGCCACGCGCGCCCAATCAACACTGTGCAGACAAGTTAATTTACATAATTAATCCCAACCGTGTTTGCGGGATAAACAAAAGTCAATTGTCCTAAAATAAACATGAACCAGATAAACATAAATTGCCATGAATAATGGTTTTCATTCACGGCGTTAAAAAAAACATGCTTCTTTTCCTGTGTGTTATTGCCGTACACAGGACAGGCCAAAAGTCGTTACCGACGACAGCGGTGATATTCCTTATAGAAACGTAAACAGTCCCATCACCTTTCCTCTTCGCAACGCGAGGATGCGGTCTTTGCAATCGAACCACGTGAGCCCACACTTAAAATGTTTTCTGCTATGTGCGCGCATCAGTTTAATACTAGATTGCAGATTAGCGTACATTTTAGCCTGCGGGGATCATTACATTTTAAAACTGTTGTACAGAATTTGTGAAACCCCCCTAATATTATTGGTGGTCCATTGCAAACAGATCAAATTCGTACCCAGTACATCGCATGTGAATCGTCGTAATAATATTCAGTACGGGAGGGGAAGAGAGGGGGAGGGGGCTCCGCGAATGAAATCTAGCAGACAGAATGAAACACGAAATTTTATTCGTGAAAAATGCACGGCGTTTCACGTTCTCCTGCAGTGAAATTCAACGCCATATGGGCAACAAAACGAATACAATAGAGAGGACATCACGTCGTGTAACCTGCTTGGAAACCCGTGTACGTATGATAATTGAACACTATCACTTGCTTGGCTCCCAATGACATTATTGTATTGAATTTCATGACGGCATTGTCATCACGTGCGTCCGATCGAATATACTATTTTACGCCGTTTTGCATACCGGCAATAATCCCAAATCTTCGATAAAAATAACAAAAATTCGCCAAAACGGTTGAAAACCTCGCATAATAAGACTAAGCAAAGACATCCTTTTGCCGCGGTCGATATCGGACAATGGCGTCCCATTTTCGCTTTGAAAATTAAATAAAACGACATAAAAGAATGTTTTTTGTGGGTCGCGAAAAGCTCGTAATACCGAGTTAGGTATGAATCATGTCACTAGTCATGTTTCCCCAACCGCCATCTGCGTCACTATCGCGTCAGCTAGAATATTTTACCGATTTCGGATCATACATATTTTCATTTTTTGTAAGAGGGATCAGTGCGAATTTCAAAAAAAAAGCGGGAAAAAAACACTATACAGAATATTTTAAACGCATTATGAAACGTCATTTGTCTTTATACTTTAACCGTCTAAAAATACCACACACATATGACACATACATTCAACGAGTCGTTTTCTTCCGTGTTTAGTGTACGATCACCATGAACGCAACTGAAGTTTTTGGCAACACAAGTAAATATTTGATACCCCGGCAAGTTCAAAACTTGTTTGCCAGCCCTTCGTATCTCAGCCCGCGATGATCCCGCGGACAACTTGACTATCTGAAGTTGATTGAACCGTGACCAATACAGCGATGTTTACGCGGCATCTATTGAACCACAGTGCTGTTTATTATTTTGTTGTTCGATTATTGAGCAGGTGTTTGTTTGATGAGACATAATCGTATCATTTTGAATCGCATGTCTATTGCTTTCTGCAACTCTAACCTTGCTCGTCGGTGTGATGTGTTTACTACTTTCACGCTCTTTCAAGTTGGACGTGCCCAATAATGATTTATTTGCTAAAGACTGGATATCCACAAGTTACCGTGACCTCTAGTGGTATACACCGATACAACAATAACCCCATCCCCTTCATAGTTTCACAGAAATGATGAACTTAAAAGCCGGCACGGTAGATTCCGTGCAAACATCTCTCATTTCCGGATAAATGTGTACACTCTTCCGGTTCTTGCATATACGAACATTTTCTCGGGGTCTGACGCTTATTAATATGTAATTATAAAACCAACATATTTTAAAAACTGCCGAAAGGGTATTAGTCGTATGTCAATGCAACTGCGGTCGGGGGGGGGGGGGACGGAGAAAGAACTATCCGATATATACCGAAGAGTGCCTAAAAACATGGGAGTAACCCGACTCCGTATTTCATCAGCCCAATTAAATTAAATTAAAGTACAAACCATGGCTTTTATGCGGGAGATTTTAAAGAGTGAGTTGAAGGCAACAAACCTGTCAAAAATCTGACCATTTCTGAGAGTGAGTTATAGATATGATGTGGAACAAACGGTAGCAGTAATTTTTTCACCTTCGTCAATACCATAAACGTAAATATCAGCCGCTGATATGCCCCTACGGGTGAAAGGTCTAGGTATTCACTATGATATTACTTACATTAAAATGTACTTGGATTTGAAATTGGACTTTGGGTAATAAACTATAAACGACATTGTGAAATTTGGCACTGTGAATCGAAGTGATTCAAAGTTCGTGACATTCGATTCAAACTTGTTTACTTTTGGAGATTGCAAGTGCGTGACAAAAGCGGGCGTTGTTTTAGGATTCCATTTATGGGTTTTAGCATTCACGGACTCCAGTCATCAGTTTATTTATTGCTTAGAATTCACCGATAGTAATAGTATTGGGAACATTCGTGTATTTTTTTATTGTTTGTTGATGTGGAAAATTCTGCGACATCAATGTTTGCAAAAACAGCATATATCAATTGTTTGTCGCCCAAATTCGAATTATTCAATACATGAAGGATCAGGTGTAATATTCACCATTGAGAAAGATTCGCGGCGACTGATATTCGGTGGACAAATATAAAATACCCTAACGGGGAATGTATCCATTTATCACAAATTACGTCATCCCAACGATTATTTTCATTCTTTTTCATTTTAAATAATATATACGTCTTTGTTGCCGCGGACGTAGCTCGATCAACCACAAGCATTCTGTTCCGATTCGCAGGAGATTTACGGTGATTTGTTTCATTCAAATCAAAATTCTGCAGAAAACAAGAGGCAATATTACAACAAAACTTAAAACAATAGTAAACGGAAACGTGTGTGTGTGTATATATATATATACATATATATCTGTGTTTCAGACGGGAAGGCTGAATAAGATTGCCTCTCTATGTATATCCCGTCCTATGGGATTCATTTCGCTAGCCCCAATGGCCTAGCCTCGGGCGAAATTTCGCCAAAGATTGTCCAGATAATTTAGGCACTTTTTCAAAGAATGATAGATGGTAAAATGACTCCGGGAAAGTAGGAAAACACGGTGCGCATCTTCTTTTGTATTTGATAGAAGTACGAGAAAAAATGGCAGACAAAGAGACGAGGGATGGTGACGAGGCGGAAACTATCGCCATGTAAAAGCGAGATGAAACGTGAGAAGTTTGAATGGTGAACACCGTGCGACAAAATGACAACGTCAATCGCTTGCTGTATCAAACCCTAGACTTGAAACGGATACCCTTTGATGTAGCCTTTCAGACGTTAAACACATCTCTCATTGATGGAAGTTAGTTTTAAATTTTTCTATAACGAAAATCTCTATGACTGTTGTATGTATAGTGTAACACACAGCGCGTGCAACATGAATATTATCGGCACAGTTGCCGCGAAAGGATACTTTATTCTTTGTTGTCCCCACAATTACACGCTATTAAATTAGCTCAGTGCCACACCGACATGTTTAAGAATAATACTAATTAAGTCCGTAGATCCGCATTGTCTTTACTAATAAGAAGCGGAACAATAAACTATGCATCAAACATTTCATTGTGTTTTCAAAGAAGATGAGAAATCCTTTTCTAAACGTCATAGTAAATAAAAAATTATGCCAATTATCAAACACCTTATTACACCTATACTTCTAGTAGCTCTTCATTATCGAGGTTTATTTTTGCAAATTGTCGTTTGTGTATTCCGACATAAATCGGGAAGTTTTAGCGTAGTGGCTTTAACATATACAAGCTGATTTACACCAAAGTATAAAAGAAAAAAGTTTGATGAAAAGAAATTAATTCACTACGCTATTCACACTAATATTATTTTGGTGGTTCTCAGTTTTTTTTGTTTTTGTTTTTACTTTCCGCGCGTTTTCATGATGCAACAACCGCATATTCTGTTTGGAATTATACGACAACCATGAGAGTGTCCCTATAGGTGACCTGCACTGTGCAGTAGGTGCATGAGCGAAACCAAATTCGATTATCAGTGTAGCGTGCCTGCAGAATGGCAGTAATGCCGTCTTTAGGGGATCGACGGGTACCGTTAGTACGAGCCAAAGCAGACATTGCCGGAG